AGTTTTCTGGTTCGTGCTGCCTTGGTGTGTTTGGATGCAGAAGGATGTCTGGTTTGGAGGGATAGCTGCTTGGGATTCGGTTCCCATCCTATAGCTGCTGATGGAATGTGCTGGTGTCGTCACTGCTTTTTGTCAGTCTCCACTTCTGTGAAACCGGGGTGCTGGGGTTTACTCAGCTCTTCCAAAACGTTTTCTCTTATGCTGATGAAAAATCATAGTCGTGCTAAAAACGCTTATTCTTCATAATTGCAAACTAGTGCGAAGTCCTCGCCGAGTTTCCGACGAGATATGGTGGAGTTCAGAGGCTCCTGGGTGGGGGTTTCTGCCCCTTGCCAAGTGAGCTGCGGTGCAGTTATTTTCTGAACACTTGCTTTAACTTTCTTTCATGCCCATGCATTTTGGAAACACCAGTTTGTGTTCTGACTGCAGTTGAAACGTTGGGTCTGAATAGCTTCCGAGTGCTCCGCAGGCAGGATGAGATCCTTGATCATTCTAATGAGATGGAAACGCGTTCCGCTGCGCGGTGTTTTGTTGCGCGTAGGTGAGGGTGTACGCGTGCGGTGCGGCAACCGAGAGGAGCGGTAGCTGTGCAGAAACGTGCAGGTAATGCCCAGTTAGAGCTGAAACTCCCCTTTCTGCGTTGCTTTTTGGGGATGTGGCTCACTTCCTCTCCAGCCTGTGCAGTGGGGATCCTGTCTGCCCTGTTACTCACTCTGCTTGTGTGTGCACTCGGGAGTTAAAACCACCTGCTGATGCTTTGCTTTGTCGTAAAACTAGCTTGGGGTCTCCTGTGATGGAGGGAAGGAAACAACAAGGGGTCAGAAATATTCTACAAACACAGCAACTAGCTCGGGTGTGGATTAAAAGTAAAGTTGGTGACAAGAATGTCAGAGTGTGTGCCAGGAACTTAGCTGCTTAAGAACCCTACTTAGAAAAGTGAGAAGGGTTTTATGTATCAAAGAATATGTTTATACCTGTGTGTGCTTAAATACCAAGCTATTTTTCCTAATTGTTTCTTCCTCATGTGTTGACCAAACTGCTCATTCCATCCAAGCGAGTTGGCTTCCCAGTGTTTCTCACCTTGTGCTGAAGAACGCTGCAGAAAGAGATTCATAGATTCATAGATTTCTAGGTTGGAAAAGACCTTAGAGATCATCGAGTCCAACCATCCCTAATCCCCATTAAACCATATTCTCAAGTAGATCATCCACCCGAGTTGGTATTTCGGGCAATTAGCTCGCTCGTTCTGAGAAAGGGTTTGAACAAAATTGACATCTTTTGTGCTGACACACCGTTGAAGGAAATAACTTTCTGACTAGTGCTCAAACGGTGCTCTGAAAGAGAAGAATCGATGGTCTGTATTAGCCATTAGGTGCTTAAAACACCCAAACCTGACACCAGCTCGTTTCAGTGCTGATAAACGAAGCAGTCGGGATGCAGCACTCGGAAAAGTCCTGCTGCTGGAGTATGGGAGAACGAGGTGGTGGCTAAATATAAAACTAGCTTATTGACTTCCTTCTTATTACCACTATATCCTTCTTGGCGTCATTCCACTTCTTTTTTTTTTTTTCTTTTTTTGATAATAGTTGATCAAATCTGGATTATGAGATTTATACGAAAAAGGGATACTTAGCCAAGGCACTGAGTGCTTGTGCCATGAATTACACAAACGAAATTGGATTGTTCAGAGTGCACCTCGTGTGTTAGCTTTAGTTTTGCACTCACTGATTTTATTTTTTTACTCTTGGATTATTTCTGACTATTTGTATGTTTTTTTTCTCTTTTAGGTGCTCTTTCCCTTTTTTTTTCCCACTGCTATACTTCTCTTTAAAAAATTACCTTGTGATTCTTCCTCCTTCTTTGGCTCCCTCCCTTTTTACGTGCTGAGTTTGGGAACTTTAGCAAAGATCCCCTAGTTAAAAAGCCAAAAACCAGTGAGAAAGTTTCGGGGGGAACCATTCTTCAGGGCAATTCCCAGTGTGACGTGCTTGCAGTTCTTTAGTCCTCTTTTTTTCTTTTTAAGGTGCTTTTTATGTGTTTTCTTTTTTTTTTCTAATAGATGCACAAGGGCAAAGTCTTTTGCTTAGATTTCTTTTGTGACTCTTTTTTTAAGTGGGAGTTAAAGATCTGATAGGAGTTAATGGCACTTGGACAGGTAAGTGTCATACCAGCCACAGGCATTTGGATTTTTTCAAGTTGTTTTTTAATCTTCACTGCTAGAGCACCAGATACATCTGTAGCTAAATTCTTACTTTTTTTTTTTTCCTTTTTTTAATGTCACCAGACTTCTCAAGCCTGGTACCCTGTAAGATCCTTGCTTTTTAAGTGCTGGCTAGCTCTTCCACGTTCTTACTGCATTCTGCAAGGTCTGTGGCATGGGTGGTGTCGGATCCGTTCTTCTCTTGATGCCTCCAGATGAGAGAGAGAACAGAGAACAAAAATAGGGGAATGTGGACAGAGTTGGAAGTTACGGGGAAATGAGTAAGTGAAATGCAGAGGAAATACAAAGAAATATTACTGCAAGTGAGCGTTTTGAACCAGAGCGTGCACCCAGTGCCCCGTAAGGAAAGGTGCATCCTGTTGTATTGGTGAATTGTCACCAGTTGGAATACTGTGTTTCGGGCTGCATAGCTTTTACAGGCGTGGAAATTAAACTTTCACCTTCTGTTAGGTATTTGCATCTTTATCTCTTTGGGTTTTCTTTTTTTCCAGATTTTTAAGTTTTGTAAGAGGAGCAAACTGCTCTACTTAGTACTTTTGGGCACCCTGCTCTCTAGCTTGAGGGCGACGCTGGCGTTTGGAGGCTGTGATTCAGCTGAGTTGGGGGGGCACAGAACTCACGTATCTTACTTTTGCATAACGTGGGCACATAATTTTTCTGTAACCTTAGGCAAATATTTTGGTTCGGAGGGGAATCACTGCAGCTGTGAGGTTAGATTAATACTCACCTCATTTAAAGTGTGTGGCTGGTGGGTGTCGCAGAAACATTAACTGTAACGTTATGATGTTAACTAGAACAAACAATTTTGTTAAAATTGTTTGAAATCCTCATATAAAGTACTGGTTTTTACAGTGACTTCTTCTAATCACGTCTGTTGCAGCATAGTCAGAAGTTAATTGTCTTAAACTCTTCTTTTTTAACACGTGCTAAATCATTTTTCCTATATGTCAGAATACATTTCCTATATATCTGAATATTTCTTGTTCAAAATGGCAAACAGTGTTGTGAACGTGCAGTTATTTTGACTGTTGCTTGTAATTATGTGACACTGAAGGTTTCTGTGTTAAATTAGAGTTTAGATTTTAATTTTTGCTTCCTATTCTTTCCATTCCCAAATACAGGCCATCTGATGGACCTTTTGGAGCTTATTACCAGAGACCAGTCTCCTCTGTTCATTAAATCATGCACTGTCCAGCTGTGAAACATCGTGACGTTTGGTTTTGCTAACAGAAAACATTTTCAAATATTGGTAAGTTCTC